CTCGCAACTGTATACTTAGTCTCTGATTATTTAAAGATTTTGTTCGATAACAAGACACTTTTCTCATGTCATCGAAAACTGCGTAATAATATATACAAGATAGTATATTTTTTACACCTTACGGGTTATTTATATAAGTGCAGCAGTAGGTTGTATATCGCGTAAGCTTGCATTTCCTATCTAACCCGTCTGAAAACTACGATTTTGTAAGCATGATTTCTTACAATTTTCATCGTCAACCTTAATTATTTTTTATACGAATAGAAAGATGGGAATTCAAAGAATATAATTCAATTTTATTAACTTCGGTTGGGTTATTTATAATTTTAACATTGAGGGCACTGGAGCCACCTTAAATTAGATTCAAAATTTTTCCCTTTTTCTTGATTTCCCAGTTCCGTTTGGCTGTAAGACATAGTTTACTTGTGCGAGAACTTATTTTAATTAAGAAATGCAAAATAAATTTAAAAAAAATATTTCAATAAATTACTTCTCATATGTTATTGAATAATACCTGCCAGGCAGGTAGCCAATAAAAAATTTTTATTAAAAAAAAATAATAAACAAAATATCAACGCTTAGTTGTCTGCGAGTTGGGATAAATGCCGACGGCCAAGCAACTAGATTTTATTTAATAAAAGAATTTTTTAACCAAGTATCAACGCTAAGTTGTGTGCCAGTTGATGTAAATACCAACGGCCAAGCAACTAGCCTTTATAACAAAAAAACTCAATCTTTAAAGCTATATGTTGTGTGTTGCTGGTAAAAAATTATGGTGACCAGACGACTACAGACTCCTTAAAAAAGAACCAAGCTACCATTTCCAAGTAAATGACCAGTCACGTGCCGTTGGTGTTAATGCCAATGGCCAAGTAGCTAGCTAACCTTTCTACAATCATTAATCCTGTTCCCACCTCCGAGCTCCGTCTTCAATCCTTCCTATCATGTACCCAGGCTGTTGAGTGAAAGCTTAGGTCTTAACATAAAAATTACTGCTACGCCGTCTCCGACGTAACACATTCATGCGCAAACTGTCATAGCAATATTAGTAAACTGAACTTGTGAAGCTCAAAAAAAAGTGAGTAAAATGATAAAATGTAGACTAATGACCATAATCTGGAACATTATTAAAATATATGCCTGACCTAAAATTGTGCTCAAAAAATAATAATAAAAAAAAATTGTTTTCAGATAAAGATTAAACAGTAACTAAAATTAACTTAAAGCTAAATGAATTATTCTTATGAGTATGCACGCAATCTAACAGAGCTTTAAGAAACATTATTTCTTATGTTCGCTGAAAAAAAAGTATTGTAGTTTTACAGTATTTTTGGAGGGTGTTTTATTAATCAGTAATTGTAATTTTCTTTCCAGGATTTGGCCACTTAATTAGCAAATGATTGCAAAAAAAAAAAAAAAAGAAAAAAAAAGAAAAAACGAAAACGGGTGTTCAAATCAAATCTCTTGGTAAAATAATACTTCCAATGCATTGATTGGTCAAACGCGTCGTCATTTCACGTTGACTCACTATTTTTCTTTTTAAATTGCTATTATTTAGCATTATTTTTTTACGTTGTTTGTTAAGAAAGACTTTGCAGCTGATAAAGACATTTGCATCCATGTCATTGCGCATTAAATATTAAAAAAAATTTTTCATGATAATATTAAATTAAATTTTCCAAACAGCACTAAAAAGCTTTTAAAAATTACAACTGAACACAAAATTAAAAACGTTTCTGTGTTTTTTAAATGCAATGGTAAAATTTAGATCTGTACACAAATGCAAAATAGTAAATTTTATAAAGTAATTCTTTTCAATCTTATAAATTACTCTTCTCTCGTATTATACTGTAAATTTTTTTTGTATTACAACAGCTACATTAACAATTCAAAAATTTGTTCTATTTAGTGGTTAGGAAATACCCTAAGTGTTTTTAGATGCGTAATTTAGGAAATTATAAAATAGTAAAACAAGTATTCTTAAAAAAAAAAATCAAATCATAAATTTATAATATTTCAGTATGATTAAAATATGTGTTATATTTACATATCAAGGAATTATAACTTATGTAAATGAAGGAAACTGTATGACAAAGCTTTTAAAGCAGTTTTTAACCTATCAAGAATGAATACAACAAAAAGCCAAACAAACAGCAGGTGGTGATATATATTATAGATTCATTAAACAGGCGGTCAGTGGTTGTTCTCTCACACGAAACAAGAAGTGTGTCAGCTGTACTTTAGTTGGTAAGGTATCTAACCTAACGTACTAGTAGTGTTGCTGCCCGACTTTTGGTAACGATACGGAACCAACGCAAGGTATGGTATCCGTTCCGTTCGGGACTGCAGCTTCACCAACATTCTCTCAGTGTAGAAAGAACGGTGTACTATTAAACACTGACTATGATCTCGATTTAAATGATGAAATCCAACTTACAAACTCTGTTCAACATAGAAAAAAAATGATAGCGTGAAAAAAATGTGTAAAAATATAATGTGGAGAAATGGATCGCCTATTTTAGCATAATTTATTGAAGAATATGCGAATACACTGGAAAATACGATGGTTCGACTTTCCTCATTTTTGGGGCTTAAAACAAGTACAAGGAAAAGTATGTCCTAATGCCACGCTAAAAACGGCAGAGTTGAGTTCAATTGATTCATTACTATCTTGGCTTAATACTAAGCATATGAATCATTTCATTAAAAACATAATACTTAGGTGTATTAAGAAAATTTTTGATATTTTGTTTTATTTTAAGGTAATTTTCTAAGATAATTTTTTTTTTAACTGGTTCCGGGACAGCCTACTGGTCTAGCTTGACCAGAGCCACCCAATTACCACCTATGTGTGGAGCTGTATTGCCGCATCTATTTACAAGTAACCTAACTAATTTCATACCGATCATACTACAGGCACAGTGGGAATATCTCCGGTGAAATACCTTGCCAGGTAAGCTAGCAGTCTACACCAATGATGTATCGGGTTCATTCGCTGCTGTGTAGCCTTTTCCTGAAGAAAACTCGATATTTTAAGATGTCTGCTCTTTGCCGGTTAAGCAAGCGCGTTCTGCCGAAGCATCCGATCCTTGCTAGTAAGCATCCTTAAAGATAACAGTATTCCGCATTTATCCAGGCTCGAAGACCTGTGGGCAAAGAAAAAATCCTGGAACCACTTGATAATACCACGAAAAAATCCGCCCCGAACCGGCCAGGGGTTTTTACCAAAACAGTTTTGGAGAAAATCTGCATTCATCGGAAATTGAACCCACAACTTCTAAAACAGTGTTGTATCAGTACCAAGTACGCTTACCACTGAGCCAATACTACATCTAATTTTTGAATAATTTTAAAAACGCATTACAGTAATGATAGGTTTGTGATTACCGTGATACATTTTTTTAAATTTCGAGTCTTGTACAGGAATTTTACAACGAAATTAATGAGATTAGGTGCATTTCGGTAACGACCGTATAATTGACTGTGAGAAACGCTCTGTATTTACGATAATGCTGCGACTACTTACATTTAAATTTGGGGCTTCTAAAACGTTATGGTATTTTTTTTTTACTTGTAATACAGAACGATACATTCTAAATATCCAAAAATAGACCAACTTGACACGACGCGTTAATTTGCGTGTTTTGCGAACGAATACTATCAAGTGATACATAAATGATTTTTTGCAATGAATATAACGTTTATTACAAAAAAAACGTGACCTCAATATTTTTTAAAAATTTCACAATTATTATTATAATTTTTTTTTCCTTTAACGAATGATGATTCTTGAATTTACAATGTGTATTCATGTATAAATATTTTACTAAAAAATAAAACGAATGTTTTAAATAAAATTTTCAATTAAATACGGCAATTATTTTTTCAAACAGGTGAAATTTTTAAAATAACTTAAGATTAGGTGCACTTTAGGGGCTCATCTCAAAGAACGATAAAAATTTCAAAAAATGTTTTTTTTTATAATAAATTATTGACTGTTTTGTAATTTACATCAATGTGTATATAAGAACTTAGATTTTTTAACTAGAACAAATTGAGAAAGGCTGTGTACAAAACTTTTAAAAAAATTTAAATTATATGCTGAATCCGAGAAACCTCAGTTTCCTAAAAATATCACATAAAAAAGAAGTGTTTAATAACACTGTCTCAATCAGTTCACAGTAGTTTAATCGATTACTAGAAAAATTAAGCTGCAAAATTTCTACGGAAAGAAAAAATAAGTTCAAAGTACTCGTTTTGTCATATTTAAATACATTTCAAGTACAGTGAATAAATTTATTATTGCATAAAAATACTTTGAAACCAAGAACACTAGTCGTTTTTTAAAATTACTGATAACTGATCCGCTTTAGTTGTATAATATTCATTCGCCAGTAAAACTCTGTCCATAACTTTGTAGAGATCTGAATACAGTGAATGAAATGAATAACATCACTTTAGAAGTTACTGTACTTTAAAGTTATGGATAGATACACTAAAATATGGAGTATTTTTGGAAGTGTAAGCATCAAAACTAAGCCAACTGAAAAATTTCTAATATGACATATTGCAATTATAATATTCACAGGTTTACTAACAATAATAATTTTTCTCTTTTGCCTTCATGAATATTAACACCAGAAAACACACCCTTCTCAACAACGGATAAAAGCAGTTTATGTATTCTACGTGTTTATTAACAGTATTTTTTATTAGTGATTTACCAGCGACGATTACTAGTCGGTCATCTGCAGTACACGTGTACACAACGAGATGAGGTCAAGGTATTGCCAGTGGTGGCACTAGAATTGGAGGCTGTACCAAGATGTTCACGATAGTTTGCGATGGACATCCAACTTCTTATCATCGCCGGCCAATGCTGTAGGAACACGAACGCTTGCCCAACTTGACGCCACAGGGCGGCATTGGTGAAAGCGGAAACTCGAGCCACACATCAATGTAGCCTAACTAGATAGTCCAGTTGATTGAAAATTTGAAACTCATGATGGATACCTTAGCATATTTATGCCGTGATCTTGTTTTGTAACCATGATTTTATTAACAATCTGTACCTATGTATCAATAAATAGTAATTATATAATAAGTAAGTCATATGTCGAAATCATTGCCTTACTTCTAAGCGCTCACCATGTAAGCTGCGTGGATGTTTGTAAACAGGGTACGCTGTTTTCTATATTTAGTGATGTTTACAAACGTTACAAGCAGCTGGTCATACTGTTCCATAAGATCAGAGCTATCCTGGTGCAGCTGAGGTGTCTTACGGAATATGGTTGGGCCAGATAGACCTGCATTGAGATGCGAAATGTAGTTTCTAATTCAAGCAACTGACAATGCTACGTATTAACGACGAGGCTCATTTGGGCCAGGAATTCTCCTGCAATGATGAATCCATGCACGTCTACTACGATAATAAGACAGGTATGGGCTCTTCTAAGGCTGAGGTTAAGAGTGAAAACGTGGTGTCTGTACCTTATGGGTATCATATTAGCAGCTGAAATTTGAGGAGATTAAGGACCAAGCGTTTGACGCACAGCTGTATATAGTAACGAAAAACGACGGAACCCAAATCGATAAGAAAACTTGGGCTAACGTTCCGATCAAGAACGTGTAGGTAATTTTTTTTGGGGACAGGTGACTGCCATGGGCCCTTTTGACATAATGCAGCTTCTCCAGTTTTCCTGGCCCTGAATGATTTTTCTGGCACATCAGTACTCGCTTTACTCGCGTCCATGACAGATCTAACTATTCCACATGTGGCCATTTTTTCGGCTAGGGCCAACATGACAAGACGTAAAAGCATGATGTTGAGCATAAAGTAAGTCTGACAAAGCCGAATAGCATTCACTAATGCAGGTATGCCATATGATTAGCAGCTTCTACTAACTCGTAGAGTATGTTTTTAAAAATGCTTAATATGTTCTGTATGAGTACCGAGAGGACATTCAGCCATTTGACCTTGAGCACCACGTTACTGACTGCAGTAATGGCAGCCATGCACATCTGACGTATCAGGGGTATGACTATCAACGTGTAGTGGGAGATAAGATGACTTCAAAGATGATTCTTCTCTGTATCAGTAAATTGCGCGAGCACTTGCCTGTTTAGGTAGTCATGCTTGCCTGTATCAATAAGAGTGTTCGATCTGAAAAAAAAATTTTCAGAAATGTTTCAGCTAACAGTTGTACACCTCTTCGACAGCTCCTCCTGTTATAGGTCCACTGCCGTTCTTCATGCCAGTCGAGATGTTGCTTCCGTAAATGTTGTTCTTTTGTAGTTATTGCTGGTCTTTATTTGCCATTGGGGTCAGCTCGTATAGAGGACAAGGAAAAAAACCTACTAGTTATGTACAATTAGAGGCACTAAATATGACGTATAAAAATTAAATTTAGAAAAAAAAATTATATGTTTCTGCACGCAAAGCTTAGTAAAGTGATTTTTCTTAATCTCTTTTCTGCTGTTTTATACCTAAATATGGTTTATTATTCTTAAGATTATAAGAATGAGAGCACATGGAACACGCAGGTGTCAAGCTCTACTTGTATGTATATATGTGGTCACGGTGGCGCAACGGTAGAGTTGCAGTTCCGTCGATCTCCGAGGTTCAGCTGGATTTGGCGCGGTTAGTACTTGGATAGGTGATCGTCTGGTAACCTTTCAAGTCTCGCCCTTTCGCCTGTGCTCTTGATTCTAAAAGGTCGATTAACTGTTTCTCTGACGTTTCGTCTACGTGATCATAGGTGTGACTGAGTTGGTCCAGATGTTTATGTACATATATAAACATCTGGTCATAACTCAGGTGCACCGATGGCTAATTAACACTATGCTTGTGTAAAAGAATGCCATGTCAGAGCCTATGGGCGATGATGAATTAAAAAAAATATATATGTGTATATATATATGTATTGTGTGTGTATGTATAAATAAATGGATAGTAACAACGTATAACTATGATAAAAGTATATTATGATATATTATTACTTGGTAGTATAAACAGAGGTACTAACAATCCTTTAAATACCAAATTTTTATTTACTATATTCATTTAAGAACTAACACCCCCCCCCCCCCGTCACTTCGCCCGAGACTCACTAAATGAAACACCGCAGTGTTGGCATATAATGTGAAACGGTTTTACTTAAAAATTTTACATCTATTCCTGACACTTTTCAGAACAAAAATCTAATTCTTAAAAACATATTTGTTTGGAGTCCATACAGTTTACTTAACCAAATAATCAGCTGTAAAAAGTAAAAAAAATATAATTATGCTGAAAAGTACTGTGCGTTCCTTATGCCATAAAATAATCGTTGGCCTTAAAGGGCCGTTGATTAGCAGTTTCTATATAATATAATATTTTAATCCTTTGAAGCATGGGCAGTTTTTCTTCCAATTCACTCTCTTGCAACTATAGACATGGTTAAAACTTTTGTGAGCTCTAAAAGCTTTTTTTTATCAACTTTGATAGGTTGTAATGTATTTATTGGCAAGATAGTTCGACGTCCGATGGCCTTAAAAAGAACTAGTGAGCTAAACTTTTCCTTGACTAAAGTTTCCAGCAAACGTGACTGCCTGGATTCTTCAGGGTGATCTTTTCTGGCCTGCTGTTGTAGCACTAGACTGATCGTGAGGAAAACTACAACGTATAAAGTGTGAGAGCTCCTGGTGTTACGCGGAGACGCTGGTGTCTGAAGCACCTTCTTTTTTTGCAGAGCTCAGTCGTCTTGGTGATCTAAGGTGGGGAGATTAGTTCGTGATGCTTGCCCGTTAGAGACTGTCCCGTTTGCTAAAGTCTACTTTTCCTTCTTAGCTATTAGGTTCACCCAGCGCAGACCTCAGACAACATCGGTGATTTCTGGTTAAATGCTTACAGAGTCGAGAGAGTAATGTCATATAGGGTCGTTGGTCGCCGGAGTTCCCAGCCTTGCGACGAACAACTCCACTTGTGACGTCTGCCAGTGAATGACTGACTTGGTTTAATAGTGGCCGGCTTTATATGGTCCTTTAGTCAACAAATCGTTGCCGGAAATGGTAGTAAATATGTATTTGTAGGCAAAGTGGTTTAACGAAAGGTGGCCTTTAAAAGAACCGATGGGATTGATGGTTAAGTAGGGAACGTAAATACTAATGATGGCCCTGAAAAGGACCCGTAGTAATACTTCTAGACATTACTTATTATTATTCTTGATAATGGAGAGCTGGCTGTGCGAACAGCTTAACTCTAATCCTCGGAGTCTCTGCGTACGGAGACCGTACTGGAGTAAGTTACGCCACTGACCAAAGAATATCTCATCTTCGGGTCGTCCCCTGAATAACCAATCGCTCATCGGTAGTCGGAAAAGTAAGCCTCGAGAATACCTTCTCTGTGGACATGCCGTTCTTACGAACCACTGAGGAGGCTATTGTGACTGCCCGAACTTCTCAGGGTTATTTTCCGTGGTTTGCTGTTATAATATAATCTGCTCTGGTAGCCCCAAGACGGTTGAAAGAATGGTCACGAAACTGCACAATGCTGAAGCAAATTGAGCTCTGGCTAGAAAATTTCCTGGTATTTTGCCGGAGACGTTAGCATTTACATCACTTTTTTGTCGTTGGCACTCATTAATCTTAGTGTTTCCGGATTGAGTTTGACGTATGTCACTTGTCTATTAGAGAACAATGTTGTCGGTAGCCGTGATACCCAGCTGCACGACACCCAACTTTAGGCTTCATGCACTGAAGGTAAACGACTGTGTAATTGGTACGTTGCTTAGACCTATTATTACTACTCTTATTTGATTCAGTTGCAGAATGTTCGATTTTACTTCGACGTCACCTAGCGGATTCAACTAAACTAAAGCGCACAGCTAGCGTACTTCTGAAAAACTTTAAGCTTATTTATTGCTGTTGTTAATAACTTTTTCAAGATAAAAAATATACTAAAACTATCTAGGAAGTTTCAAAATTCGGTATGCAAAACTTCAGCAAGATCGGTTGAGTAGTTTGTGCGGTTAGCGATTACAACGGTTTTAGCGACTTTTGCTTCATTTAGTAGTAAAATAGTATGGACACACATCCAGGAATAATTACAAAGCTAGTTTTCTATATACTTACTAAACAATCGAACCTAGAGCGTTCGAGACAAAGGCACTAAGGGCTTTATTACTACGATTAGAGGATGTAAATAATGGAAAGGAGAGAATTCCTGCAGTACGTACCAAGAAGTATGCTTAAACGCAATGACTACAAAAAGTATAAGATAAATAGGACAAGCTCTTTACTGCCAATGCTGACTGATGATAGAAATGCATTAATTTAGTCTCCAAATCAGGAGTGAATTAGCGGGTAACGGGAGTCTGCTTTACAGCCAGCATCACCTGTCTTGCTCGTTTGCGCATAGCCTAGGTGAGACGCTTAGTAATAATGCAGTCAAGGTTTTGTGACGTGTCATTTTTCAACGTCACAGTACATATGTTTGTTAGTTCAAGGTGCCTTATGCGGACACTAATTTGAGAAAAGTAAGAAGTGGGAGTAATTATGGGGACAATATTAGTACTATCTGAAATGTTCGCATAATTTCACTACGTTATCAATGTGTACGTTAAAAACATGTGATGTCTACATAAGTCACCTTTTACGACCACACGCACACACGCACACGCACGCGAGCACACACGTTAATATTGGTTAGGCTTACCTGTTGTTAAAGAAGAACTTTCGTTATTTTGTGGAAGTAGAGTGTATAAAAACTTAATCTGCAATTCAGCATTCTTATACAAAAAGCATTGAAAACAGTATAATACTGCACATCGTAAAAAAAAGGGTTGTTTTTCATTAACCATTGACATTAGTAGAACAATAATTACTGAACTAGAATAATGATAATAATAATAATAAATTTTAATGTTTAAGCTATTATCACTTTGAGACAAAATGTTTTTTTAAAGTTTACCGTGTTGGACTACTCGGAGCCATGATTTGCGCTAAGTAATCTTGATTTTTTTTGTTACCTCGAATTATTTCTGCAATACTTTTTATTACTTCTGATAAAATTTCAGCTGGAACGCCATTTACCATGAGGGTTTCACAAAGAATTCGTAATAAACCACATGATTCCATTAACTTTTGACAACTAGTAATACACTGAAAATTAAGAAATTGTGTACGTTAATATAGTGAAAATGTAACATGGACAAACATAAAATGCGTCATTTTCTCACATCATTATTCATTTATTCTTATCTTACTGCTTGTTAATGTTAAGACGGAAGGGCTATTTTTAAAAGTGGAGGGTCTAGAAATCATAACAAGTTTTTAGTAGAATATACTACTTTTATTATCATTAAAATAAATTTAAGAACTTCGACAATACCCACTATAGTTATTCTGTATAAAAGTACTGTTTTAATGTATGAATATAAGGGTGGTTCTAAATATTACTTTTTTAACTTAAATTAGATAACTACTTAATACAGCGAATTATTTTACTAAAATATCAACCTACAAAAACATTGCGGTCTTACACTGTTACAGGGTATGCACGGGAAAAAAGAGGAGAGAAATAGAAAAAACAACACTTATCTACTAGTGATATCCTAGACTTAATTTAGTAAAAACTATGAATTCTCATCACTGCTTTTCATGTAAAAAGCAGAATAAGCAATCTGCAAACCTCACCTTCAGTTGTAACTATGAATTAGTACATTGGTTCCATCACCTCGTTTTTCAAGATTACATACTTCCCGAGTACGAATTCCAACCAATTAAAAAAGATTGAGGAAGGGATGGGAATATGAGATAGTGGATAGGCATAGAGCACAATAACTGAATTAACCCTATAGTAGTACACACAGAATAGAAAGTCCCCGTCTTTCGTATAGATAATGACTACTGGACTAGCCCATCTACTGGTGTACGGTTCCATGGTCATGAATTCCAGCATCTTATTGACCTGTGTAGTCATCGTAACCTTAAAGTCATACTCTATGAATTTACAACCGTGGATTATCGTAAGTTCCAAGCAGAGGTCTATCAATTTTGAATTTTAAAACAGATTGAGACAAGAGTCTAAATTGTATTATAGTATAGATGAAGCAATCTCAAGGGGTGTTTATGAACCAGATGATAATATTTAGGTAAATTTTCTTTTAGAAACGCTGAAATTTAAAAACGTAAAGTTTTGCAATCAATATGGTAAAAAGATAATTGGAAAAAAAATTGGAAAGAAAGTTTTTATTCCAAGATGTTTGCGCTGATGAATTGGGCGTTGATTATTAATTAAGCGTTCACTCGCTGGGTCAAGCAACACACTAGGGGTAGGAGTTGGTGAGGTGACACTTACTTACACATACAACAATTTAACGCACTGTGTTTATTGATTTATTGTCCTAAAGTAAATTAATGCGTGTGCAAAGACGGTGGTGTTAACTTGTAGAAGAGCTTGAGCGAAAAGTAACAAGCGTGGCAAGGTAGCATTCATGAACTGATTCTGCTTTACTCTTTTTATCAGCCACGCGGTCACATGTTCTCTTGTTACCGTACAGAAGCTAACTGTTTTTCCGCGGTCTTATCACGGGGGCGTGCAAGCAGAGAAATCGATAACCAATTGGATCAATGAGACCTCTTTCTTGGAAACCCGAAAATTTCAAAATACCACAAACGGCTGTAACACAAGAATAACTTTGAATACTGGGAAATCTTCTTTACTACTGCATATTTTATATAGAACTCGTGTATATCTTTCTTATATTTTCTTAGTTTGAGCTTTTACTATGAATATTAATAAATCTCAAAGTCCATGTTTCAAAATTGTTGATCTATACTTAAAGAAACCTTATTTTTTTATGGTCAACTTTATGTAGCATTATCAAAATGCAAAAATGGAAAGAGGATATTAATTTAAATAAAAATAGATTAATTTGGATCTACCACACATTTTTTGGAAAGACACTATGGATTAAGCAACACTTTAGTCCAGAAATTTTCATTTAATAAATTAAATATTTTTTTGTAGATATTGAAATGATTCTTTTATAACTATTTTGGTAATATACAGATGTACGTTAGGGGTTATGAAAATGTAATTTAAGAACTCGTACTTATTTTCAATATCATTTTACTAATTAAAATGGGGGTAGTCAAAAATAATTCTTTGTGGTTTATTAGGGCTCTATACGATGGCTTATAGAAATACATCATACTCACGGGGCAGAATTGTAACGGTTTCTATCACTTTATTGGTACGAAAAATTAAAGCACATAGTTGTATGATGTTTTTTACAAACAAAAATTAACGCCCGACGAACTATATTCTTACTAATAAAATTTTCAACATTGTTTTTAAGATTTTTTATCTATTCATAAAAGTTTTTTTAACATAAAAAATTTTTTTTTTAATAG